GTATGTATGTATGTATGTATGTGTGTGTGTGTGTGTGTGTGTGTGTGTGTGTGTGTGTGTTTGTGTTTCTATGTATGTATGTATGTATGTATGTATGTATGTATGTACGTATGTACGTATGTACGTATGTATGTATGTATGTATATAGGTATGTGTACGTATATACATACCCAGTCATGCACATTTCGACCTCCTCTCATATACTGGAGATCACGATCATACCACCCGCATTGTGATGTGATTCATACGTTGTGATGTTGAGTACCGTGTCCATGGGTGACTAATCGCTTTTTAAGTTTGGGCTAGGGTTTAGAGTTCAGATTTAGTGCAAAGCACAAGTACTCAGTATCTATCGACGACACTTTCTAAATTAGGAATGCTTAGTAACGGTATACCCACTTGTCCACTACAGAATTGAGCCATCATCCGCAACATCACCCGCAACAGCACACGTCAAATCGGAACTCAGGTCATCCGAAGCCATCGCAGCCATCACAGCAACCACGTGTATGGGGAAACCAGCATCACTCAGGTACACACAAGAAAGTGTACATGTGCAACTAACACATACTATACACACAAGCAAACGCACATATGCAACCAACACATACTTGTACATTGATCTCCTCTTATATGGGATAGCGAAGTGGCAATGGAACCATGAAGCGGCGTGTATGTTTGCGACACCCATGCATGTGGTGTTTTGACACTCACTTGTACATACACATGCACTGTGTATGTATGCTACACCCATGCATGTGGTGTTTTGACACTCACTTGTACATACACATGCACTATGTATGTTTGCTACACCCATATGCATGTGATGTTTTGACACTCACTTGTACATACACATGCACTGTATTAGTGAATGTGTATGAGTGAATGTCCTCCTCAGACAAGTGTCACTCCTGTGTAGCATTATCCACTTGTATGTGCTTGTCGAGATAAGGCTCAGCCATTTAGCCATGTATACAGCTACATTCTCATGCACAAAATACATAGTCACACTTGTATAGACTTGGTTTTTAGTGTCGTGTACATAGTTATACTTGTATAGCCGTGTTTCTGAGTTTTTTTGCGCCCGCTGACTGAATGTAGCATGCGTCATTCTCGCACGCTCTCCTTGGCATTTGTATTCGAAGGCATGGTTTTAACACTGTGTGTTTGTTATGTATTATGTTCGTATTTTTAGTCATGTGTTTTAACACAGTGTCTTTGTTATGTATATGTTCGTATTTTGAAGTCATGTTTTTTAACAATTTTTTTTGCTATGTATGCTTAAGGCCAACTCCACGGCGAAGCTCCATCACACGGCAGAGGAAGAGGTGTGAAACCTCAAGGTACGCATCAGCCACAGATCATGACCAGACCGCCCCAGGGACTACCAGAGCAGCACCAACAACAGGTGTGATGTATATGTGTATGTATATATGTATGTATGTATGTATGTATGTATGTATGTATGTATGTATGTATGTATGTATGTATGTATGTATGTATGTATGTATGTATGTATGTATGTATGTATGTATGTATGTATGTATGTATGTATGTATGTATGTATGTATGTATGTATGTATGTAAGTATATATATATATATATGTGTGTGTCACAATATATATGTGTGTACGTTTTTATGCGTGTAGGCGTAAATGTTTATTATTGATTGCTACGCGTGCGTGCGTACATGGTATTCTGTGTATCAGCACGCACACTATATCCTACCTACTGGCATCTCTCTCAGACACACACATACTTCATCCGCACCATTACTAAATGCTCTGATCACCCAAGATAGTAGATCGGTATATACTACTAAGTTACACATATGGACAAGGGAGTGAAGCACACCCTTGCGCACAATCCCCTCACCAACAGTTGGTCACAGGTATACTCACGCTGTACTCACGAACACCCATATGCACACTCCCACACAGTTAGTAGACTCTATGGTTTATATCTGAATCTAATTCTCTATATACACACACTCACACACTCACGAACACCCATATGCACACTCCCACACAGTTAGTAGACTCTATGGTTTATATCTGAATCTAATTCTCTATATACACACACTCACACACTCACTCTCACACTCACTCTCACTCTCACTCTCACTCTCACTCTCACTCTCACTCTCACTCTCACTCTCACTCTCACTCTCACTCTCACTCTCACTCTCACTCTCACTCTCACTCTCACTCTCACTCTCACTCTCACTCTCACTCTCACTCTCACTCTCACTCTCACTCACACTCACACTCACACTCACACTCACACTCACACTATAGGGAATCCATCCCCTATCATATATGGTATACACTATCTGGTATCTCCCAAGCTAAAACCCTAAAAACCCTACTTACCCTTCATACACGCATGGTACACAGCCAAAGCTGGCCAAGGCATCGAAGACCACGCCCGTGCGCAACATCCCCACGCAAGCAGTCAAGAAGAAAAGCGCCAACCGCAGGAAGAAGTCCATCACAGACGCAGAGCCTCAGGACAGCCACACGCAGCAACACGCGTATGTGCCCAAATACGCACAGCCGCAGCTACACGCACGTGTGCCCAAACACGCACAGCCGCAGCAGAAAATGAACGTGGTCCAAGGCCAACGGGACGGTGAGTGAGTGAGTGCGAGTCACAGTGGTCGTACGGGTGAATAAGGTTAGCATCTAGGGTTTAGGATTGTTGGTTTAGCATCTTAGGTTTAA